CATCTGAGGTTCACAAGGGACGGTGGGAGTGCCGAGGATGCCTCTTAAAACTTCTTGATTTCTACGCTTTTTAAGGTGATACACATGCCTCCATGTGCCCAGCCACAGGGTAAAGGCATGATGTATTCTCTCAAGTGTGCGTATATGTGAGTATGTGTATGTGTATGTGTGTGTACACGTCTGCGTATGTGAGTATGTATGTGTACATGTGTGTATGTGAGTATGTATGTGTGTGTACATGTGTGCGTATATGTGATTTTGTGTGTACACATGTGTGTATATGTGGGTATGCGTGTGTACACATGTGTGTATGTGAGTACACATGTGTGTATATGTGTGTATGCATGTGTACACATGTGTGTATGTGAGTATGTGTGTACACATTGTGTATATGTGTGTATGCGTGTGTACACATGTGTGTATGTGAGTATGTGTGTACACATTGTGTATATGTGGGTATGCGTGTGTACACATGTGTGTATGTGAGTATGTGTGTGTACACATGTGTGTGTATATGTGGGTATGCGTGTGTACACATGTGTGTATGTGAGTATGTTCATGTGTGTGTACACATATGTATGTGAGTATGTATGTGGGTGTGTGTGTATGCATGTACAAGGGTAAAGACGGAGTGCATTCTCTCACGTGTATGTGTGTGTGTATGTGAGTATGTATGTGGGGAGTGTGTGTATGCATGTACAAGGGTAAAGATATGACACATTCTCTCGTGTGTATGTGTGAGTATGTATGTGAGTATATGTATGTGTGTGTGCATATGTGCACAGAGCAAAGATGGGATGCATTGTCTCACATGGTGCGTGTATGTTGGGGAAAACAGATCCCCAAACCAGAGATGTGTGGTCTCTCCTGCTGTGACCATCTCTGGTGGCGGCATAAGCAGCTCCTACCTCGTTACACAGTGCCACTGCAGCTGTGGGGTGCCTTCTCCAACCTTCACAGGCACACTTCCCCACCCGGTGAGCTCGCTCTCAGCTGTTACCACCTGAACCTCTCTCTCAGCCCTGCCACGTGGGAGCTGCTCCCAGACCTCAGGGCTGAGCGGTCACGGCTTCGCAGAGGGGAAGACATACAGAATCTTCAGTGCCTCAGAAGTTCCGGTTCTTTCCCAGTGGGAAGCCTGCTGCTCTAGACTTCCAACCTCACTCTGACACCCTCCCCGGCCCTCCCGTACTGGGAGTTACTGGCGACTCAGAACCCCGCTCCCATATGGAAGCACGGTCCACTTTTCAACAGCACAGGAACCGTGCAGGTAGCTTTGACGCTGCCTATCAGGTTACCATGGCAATGGAGAGGGCTGAGGAAGCTGCGGATGGAAAGTACATCTGGGACCCTGCTCACAGGTTGGAAGAGTGTTCCCAGACACCATGAGCGCAGCTCACACGGTACAAGCAAGGTGCAACTGACGGGGGTGGGGGGGAACCCTAAGCAGCTTCCTCCACACCAGGAAAGACCCTGCCTGGTTTGACCCCTGCTTTCTCTGCGCTGGGACAGGAAGCCACCCAATGTTCACCTATCAGTGAGGTATGTCTTATCACACCCCCAGGTATATTGAGGGGCGTGCTGCAGCTAACCATAATTCATCAGGAGAGTTTGCAAGTCACCCACACGCAACTACACACACTCCCTGGTTATTGCAAAGACGTTGACCCTCGAAGGCTCGACTGGGTTCCACATCCTCCTATAACATTCCCTCGGGGCCGTGCCACGGGTAGGAAACTTCACGATGAGCCACACAGTGGGGGTTGGGGTGATGGAAGGCCAGGAGACGAGCAGTGAGCCGGGCAGGGAACTTACCTCTAGGTTGAAACAGCTCTGGCCTCCCAGCCCCTGGCTCCCGGGATCCCCGTCGGCACGCCGGTGCAGCTCCTGCGTGGCTCGGAGGCGCAGGCCCTCTCTCTCGTCCCCTCGATCCTGGCCGAGCTGCCACTCCAGCTGGTCCCTCAGTTTGGACTGTTAAGCACATGAAGGGGTTTTATTTTGCTTTGAATTTTTAAACCAGAGACAAGGGGGGGGTAAGGAGTGGAGGGTAAAAACAAAAGTGGGTAGACAATGGTGGGGGGGGGGGGGGGAGAAACTACCAGACAGTGTAGAGCATGGACAAAAACAGTCAACATAAAAAACGCGTAAGAGAACAAAACCAAAAGGAACACGGACGAACGATAGGGTACGCTAACATGGAAAGCGGGGAGGAGGGGGCGGGTTACGCGTAACGCTGGTTATGAGACACGTGCTATGGGGACACAGGCATGGGGGACACAGGAGCACTACCCATGAAGGACACAGGGAAGAGGCTCTGCCTTCCTTACTTGCTGAGCAGCCAAAGCCACAGTCCCGGGCGGCAGCTGGGCCATGCACCCGGGGCGAAGCCTGGGAGAGCGGTCCTTGCGCGGCTGCTCCCCTTGGCCCTCACCCTGGGCAGCGGAGGGAGGGCGGCGGGAGCGAGGGCCAGCAGAACTTTCCATCAAAACCAGCCTTCTCAGGACCGGCTCCTCTCCCCCATCCCGGCTTATCTTCCAGAGGGAGTAGGTGGGCCTGGGATGCCTGAGGCTTCTCAGAACTGCACTCGTCCCTCTGGGGGGTAAAACCCAGAGGGAGCTGGGAAGCGTCTGTTACTGAGTCTAAGACAGTCTAAGTGTCCTGACTGTGACGGGAGTTGCACTTTACTTTGTCTTAAACTCCTCACAGCTTCTTCGTCAGGGTGGCTGCAACGGAAGGCTGCATCGGTCCCTAGCGCCTCCACTGGGCTTAGCCTTGTCACTGGAGGCCCAATAATAGTGGCTTGCCATTAAAAGAGGAGGACGGGGGAAGGAACAAGGAAATAAAAAGGAACTCATAAAACAAAATTAAAAGAAAGAAAGAAAAAAAATGAAACCAACCAAGAGAGAGGATTTGTTTGACGCCGAGGCTTTAGTACAATGCAGGTCTGAAATTAAAACCAAGCAACGGTGAGCAGTGTGAGCGCCAGAGCAGCAAGGCCAGCGAGCAGGAGGAAGGACGAGACGGAGCAGGGAGGCGGAGCCGGGAGCCCCCTTACCTGCAAGTCTGGGCCCAGCTCCTTCCCCAGGGTCCCGATGGGGGAGTCCCGGGACACAGAAGTCACAGTGGAGAGGAAGCTGGACGACTCTGTGAGGTGGGACAGGGGCGACAGACCGTCCACAATCCGGGTCATCTGCTCCAGGAAGGCTTGTAGCTCCTTCCTGAAAGCCCGCATCTTCACGTTGATGGTCTCCAGCAAGCGGGGCTCGTCCTGGCCGCCCTCACCGTCACCTGGGACACCGGGGGAAGCTGACCCACTGCCCCGTGGGCCTGAATCACGGATGAACCCATCTGTGTCGGTGATGAGGCGCTCCACCGTCCGCTCAAGCCGCTGGGCCTCCTGCTTTATGGTCGCCAGGTACTCGGTGTCCTCCCGGACCCTCAGGAGTTCTGCGGGGCACGGCTCACTGGCCTCTGAAGGCTTTCCGCTCCCAAACCCTGACGTCTTCTCGCATACGTCCTCCGAGTCGCTCTCCCCACCAACAGGGCCTTCCCGCTTTGGCTGGGGCAGGCGGCCCTCCTCCCCATCGCTCTCCTTCTTGCCCGTGTCGCTCTCGGCGTCGCTGTCGCGGGGGCTCGGGGCCCGCAGGCCCAGGTGTGCGGCAAGGTCGCACCGCTGGACGTTGGACAGCAGCAGCCGGTTCTCGTACTGAAGCTTCAGCACCTTCCCGCTCAGCTCATCGATCTGTAGCCTGGCAGCCTTGAGCTCCTCCTGCAGGGGAACGCCGGCCCCGGGACCCTTAGGCACACCGTCCCCGAGCCACCCTAAGGACTCCTGGTGAGGCTCAAACTTGAACTTGCTCAGCTCGTGGGTCAACCGCCGGTTGTGGTCTTCGATCTCGGATATGGACCTCCTGAGCAGCTCAGCTTCTTCCTCCACAAACTGTAGGTGCCGGCGGAGCTCCGTAGAGGACTCCAGCGAGTCCCCGAAGGGTGAGGTAGGAATGCTTGGCACATGGTCCCTGCCCGCCCCTCCCTCTCGCTCGTGCTGGGCCCGCATGTCCTCCATCTCTGCCTTGAGGCCACGGTTTTCCACCTCCAACTCCACGATCTTCCGGCCCAAGATGTTGGCCTCCTCCTCCACCAGCTTCAGCCGCAGCTTGAGCTCCGCCTCCCTGGTGCTGGGGGGCCCACCTGCCTCCCCTGTTGGGAGGGGGCTGTCCACATCACCATAGAGGGACCGGTACTTCTGCACCTCCTGCTCCAGCCCGTCCTTCTCCCGCCCCAGCTTGGCCATCTTTTTGCGCATCAGGGAGGCCTCCTCTTTGGCAAACTGAAGCTGACACTTCAGATCCGCGCTGTCGTCCTGCCAGGCGAGAATGTGTGTGTGTTTATGACCCCCTCACACCTCGCCCCCCTGACACGCATGTACACATGTGTGTGGCATCTTGCCCCCAACGCGCATGCACACACGTGTGTGCATGCACACACACGCGCACATGCACACCACTCTTCCGGTTGTTGCGGTTGGCTTTTGGATAGAGGAGAGCCGTGACAAAGCAGCAGTGAGCCCCAGACTGACCACCCTTTGCAGATGGGGCCCTGGAAAGACCCATAGCTTACTGCTTTGTCAGGAAACTGAGCAGTTAGTTTGGGGGGAAACCATGCTCACAGAAACCATCACGCAAGTTATATATGAAGAAGGAGGAAGTCAAATGTGTTGGTGACATGGTGGCCCATTGGTAACTTTGTGAAGCCAGGATGGTTGGTCATCAGCTCCCAGAAAGAAAAAAGAATCATCAAAATCCCTCATCAAAGCTGTGACCTAACGGGACTCGGGGACTGTATCTACCCTGCGGGCACTGTAAACCCTCACATGCCTTGTTGGGGAAGTCCTGTTATTTGCCTGTTATTTGTCAATAAAGTACTGTTGAGCCTATAGGAATCTAGATAGGTGGGGCTAGGAGTCCAGGAGGATTCTGGGAAGAAGAAACACAAGAGTTCGAGATGTAACGCCATTGGGGTAGGAAGCCCGGAAACCTCTCCGGTAAGAGACATACTTAGATTAACAATTATGGGGTAATTACTTAAGTCAGAGCTAGCCAGTAAGAAACAAGCAATGCCAACAGCTTCATAATTCATATAGCCTCCTGTGTGTTTATTTGGGACTGATACAGCTCTAGAACCAGGCAGGCGGGAAAGCGGCTCTGGAACCAGGCTGGCGGAACGGCTCCTTCTAAAGGAAAAAGCTTCTCTTAACAATGCCTGGCAGCTTGGGAGGTTCTACCAGGAAGGACAGGGAGGCTGAACAAGTGTTAAGTTGGAGCCTAACTTTTCCAGAGTAGCTGAGGTACGTGGGATGGGGTAATCCGTCCCCCCTCTTGGGATATCTCCTTCCCCGGGTCTCCCACAATGACAGGAAGATGGAACCAGGAGACTGTGGGCATCACGGAGCTTTAAAGGCTGGGGTGCTACATAAGAACACACACTGGCACCGGGCACAGTCCCAAGCAAAGGCGCCGGGGCTCCTTGCCAGGCAAGGACCACTTCAGAGCCTCTGGTCCCGGGGCCTCTGATTTGGTTGCTGTGACACAGCAGGAAATTAAGCACAGAGACCAAAGAAAGAAGCTAAGTGTTTGCAAATCTGAAAAGTGGTTCTCAACAGAATACCAGAGAATTCAGAGGGCTCCCAAGGTCAGCTGCCTTCTCACTCTTTGAAGCAATCTGTACTATCTTGGTCTTACGAAACTGTTTTATTCTTTGCGTTCACCAAACAGGGAGAGTGAAATTTCACAGATCAGCCCTGTTTGACTGGCATAAATTCTAAAAGATTGGCAGGGGCAGGGATGAGGTCTGCAGAGCCTCCCTCATCACGAGGAGGAAGAGCTGACACCGGTTCTGAGACTTGCTGATGCCCGGGCTGTCAGCCATGTGACGGAACAGGTAAGCCGTGTGTGTGTGTGTGTGTGTGTGTGTGTGTGTGTGTGTGTGTGTGTGCGCGCGCGCGCACGTGCGTGGCCGGCTGCTGTGCTCCCACCGTGTGTGCCTGGCCGCTGTGCTCCCTGCGTGCATGACTACCCGCTATGCTCTCACCATCCAGGAGGATGGATGGCATTGTTCAGGCCGGAGGATGGCAGCTGCCCTGTGCCACACCCCAGCAGCACAAAGCCATCTGGTCGTGACCTGGAAGGCGCAGAAGAAATCTGCCACCAAACTGCAGAATGTATGACACACGGGGCATCCCTTGGAGCCTTTTTGTACCCAGAGTGTCCTCTGGGACCTCGTCCCCAACACACACCCTTTGGTCACTGTGGAGAGTGATCTACACGTGCCACAGTCTTCAGCTTCTGAGAACTATGGAGAGTGATCTATACATGCAACAGTCTTCAGCTTCTGAGAACTTCCGCCCTACGGACTCAGTTTGGGTTAGGCAGCCCAAAAATAAATAAATAAAATAATAGTAGCAGGTTCTATGACTAACTAAAGTAAGGCTACCTGACTATTTTCTTGTTTTGTTTTTTGAGCCAGAAGAATCTGCCTATGTGGTTCTGGCTGTCTTAGAACTCTCTACGTAGACCAGGCCGGCCTTGAACTCACAGACATCCACCTGCCTCTGCCTGCTGAGTGCTGAGACTAAAGCCATGTGCCACCATGCCCAGACTTTTAACCACTAGGCAAAAATGAGCTCATAGACTGTGGAATTGGATAGGACTTTGTCAGATAGCTCTTCATGCAAGATGTGAGGACATACAGTGTGCTTGGTCCTGACCCTAACGAAGCACACCTGCTCCTTCACCCACACACCCACCAACCCACCCATCCATCCCCGCCTCCCTTCACTGTCTACTGAACGTCTGCTGTGTAGCAGCAACTGGCATGTATTTTTCAACAGCCCGGATTTCTCAGAACATTCTAAAGTAGATCAACAAAATCCACTTTCCCAGCTTCCTGCTAGACAAGGATGTGCACAGAATCCACACACACTGACAGGTCCCTGCTGTTCACACGAAGAAATGGAGTTTAAAGGGAGCTACGATACCTATCCATGGAGACAGGCTGTGAATACTTCCTGACCATATTCTCGAGGGAGTTAAATGCAGTAACTGGAAGAACTTAGTCCATCTTTAACTGGGTGACCACGGTGTGCCCATTGGCCAAAACCGCCTAAACAACCTCACCACTAGCTCCGAGGCAGACAAGTCCTGCAGCAGAGACTACTAGATCCTATGCCTGCCTCCAGCCTGAGACTCAAGAAGGCCAGACCAAGGGAGGTGCAGGGCTATCTGCTGTAACCAATCAGAGGGCTGGGGGGGTGGGGATCCTGCTGGGCTCTAGAATCACTTGTCTTGAAACAGGAGCCTAGATCAGGGACTCTGTAATCTCTCTGAGGGCCGAGGTGTACCAAGTGACTGGGGAGGCGGGATCCATGCAGGTTCTGAGACTCCGAAGCCCCCAAGTGTCTGTCATCAACAGCTTATGCAAGCGGAGCATCCCAGAGCCCTGCAGTCAGCCTGCCTTCTATAAAGCCTGGACCTCACTCTCATCTCCATCCCCCACCTCCACGTCATCCCCAGTGCCATTGTCCCCATCTCCTCAAGCCTAGACCAAGGGACAGTCACGGCAGTGATCCCACAAATGGCTGAAAAGATGGTCCAATCTGCAGACCGCCTGAAGATACATCCCTGTACGGTCTTCTTTTCCTCGAAGAAAGAATCTATACAAACAGCAGGCGCTCTGACACACGGCGAAGCATGCTGCCATTTCTACCAACACCCATGCAACACTGCAAGGCCTGCCACCAGAACTAAAGCAGGGGGCGGGGCCGGGGAGGAGGGAGGGGGAGGGAACCTTGAAGCCTGACACATGAAGGAAGGAAGTGAAGGAACTGGACTCCCTCTCTGATGTCACTGCAGCTGAAGCAGGACCTCTGTTGGGGTCCACGAGAGAGAGGGAGGCGTCCCTCTACCCAAGGGAAGCTGAGATCAGCCTGTCGGGAAGAGTAGCCCCACTCCTAATGAGACTAGCAGAGCTCAAACAGCTGGTGGCTATATGCTGTTACCTTGTAACCAAAGACTTCTAGAAAACCCTGCCAAGACTCTAGGGGAGGGATCTAGGCTGAAGTCTAAACCGGGAGCTAACAAGCTTGAGTTTCAAGGGCCCGTATGAAAGCACAGGGTCGAACCCATCTTTCCGAGGGAAACTATGGGTGGGAGAAGGGCAAGCACGGCGTGGGATCGGAGACACGGGGACCGGCACCGTCCCCAGCAGCCGGAAAGGCTTGTCAAGCAGCAGAAATATGTCATTCTTGGCCTTGCTAGTCTGCCATCTAGCCAGCACCCCAGCAGCCAACTGCCCATGTGCCTACCTTACGCCTTGGCGCCAGCTTCCTTTGGGTGTTGGTGGCTGACCTGCAGTTCCCAGGGCGTTCCTCTCCACCACTCTGCTGAACAGAAACTCCTCTCTCAATCTCCCTGCAGACTGTGTGGAGCAACCCCACACAGCACGGGTTGCTTGTGCACACAGGACCAAGGAGCTGGAACCTCTGCGCCTGGCATGTTATACCCAAACCTCTTCAGTGGGGGAATTGAGCTTCCAGGGCGGGAAAGCTCTTTGCTGGGCAAGAGACGGGGGAACTGGAAGCACATTCTAAACTTGGGGTACCAGAAACACCCAGCAACGGGTCTAAACTCAGGGTGCCAGAAACACCCAGCAACAGGTCTAAACTCGGGGTGCCAGAAACACCCAGGAACGGGATGCCTTCAATTTCCCTGTGATCAGTGGATTCTGAAATGAGATTTGGGGGGGGACTAGTGGGAGGGGGAGAAACCAGTCTTGTTCTGAGTCTTCAAGTGACACTGATTTTGGAGGACACCACAGTATCTAGCGTTGAGCACTTGGTCCCTAATTGGTGACAGCGCATGGCAAGGTTCAGGAGGAAAGGCATCACTGGGGACAGGCCTTAAGGCCTCCAGCCACGCCAAGTTTGATCTCTGTACTTCCTGCCTGTGTGAGCCCTCAGCTTGCTGCTCCAGCCGCCAAGCCTGCTGCTGCCGCCATGGTTCCAGTCCCCTGATGGTGACGGACTCCTGTCCTTCTGGAACTGTAAGCCCAAACAAGCCCTTCCTTCCGTAAGCCGCCTTGGTCATTGCGCTCTTATCCCAGCAAGAGAAAAGTAACTAATGCATGAGGAAACCATGTAGAGGGGGTTTCCAGGATGCATACAGGGCCCTTGAAGCCCTCTGAGGAACCCTGACTCACTGAGTCTCATTACCATTTGCTATTTAGAGTTTGCTGAAACCATACAGCAATATCACCCTTGTTTTCTTCAGACGCCTAATATGAAAATCAGCTTTAGAAAGAGAAAAGGAGTCCAGCAAGGAAACTTCAGAAAATCTGGAGAGACTGGAGGAATTCATACCCTGTATGTAAAAGAGGGCGGACTTCCTCAGTTTTCCTGCTGGAATGTTTTACTTCCCAGTGGGCCAAGGTAAGGCCTTGTTCAGCTATGTGTTTAAAGCACACACATTCACAAAACAATAGCATGTAGAATGACCCAACCATACATTGGCTGCATTATTACCCTATGTGAACAACTGTGAAGGCCAAACACTTTCTGGCAGTTAGGAGAGCTGCCAGAACCCAGGACTACACTCACTACGGTTTCACACAAGGCCAGTTCCTTTCTCTTTCCTAAAGGCCCGGCAGGTTATCAGAGCAGGCGAGGGACAACAGGACTGGGCTGTGGAAGTGGTAAGAAAATGTTCACCCTGAGAAGGTTTGAGAATTCCGATGTATTGGCAGGTGATGTCTCTTTTAGTGTCCTAAAGGCAAGGAGGAAACTCAAAATGGGCGGCTTCAGTATTATAACTTTGGGATGAAAAACCTCAGCTTACCTGGCTAACGGTTTTCTTCTCTTTGTACATTTCCCGGCTGCCTCTTCTCTTCAGGGAACTCTGAAAAAGATCCGAGTGTGACTTTGTTACTGAGGGGTCGTTCATGACGGCTGGCACTTGTCCCTCCTGGTGGAGCTACCTGATTCTAGGTGTGGAAAGCAACACCCTGCTCCCTGACATTTAAATGAGAGAGAGAGAGAGAGAGAGAGAGAGAGAGAGAGAGAGAGAGAGAGAGAGTTGTTTACTTATGTGTATAGGGTGAGGAGTTGATACTCTGTTTACTGCGCTGGGAAACGTTCCTCAGTTACTCTGTTTCACGTGCAAAGAGGGAGGCTTGCATGAACTAACAGTAAAGAGAAGGCAAGAAGACAAACACAGCAAGTTTCAGAAACAGATACAAAGTGGTTCTGGAGTTGGCTTACTTCCTCCTTACACTAGCGACTGTCAAAATTAACTCTTGTATTCTGAACGGTCAGATTAAAAAGCAGCAGGCTCTTACTTATGGAGAAAACATAACTAGGTTGCAGTACTGTTGACAACTCAACACCATTAAAGCAACGTCTTAAGGGTATTAGAAAGTTCTTACGTTATTCTTACAAAGTGGCCTTGGCTTATATGTTGCCTAGATCCAACACAGCCAGCACTCAGTCCTTGGAAGGGATCACTTTCTGGATCCTGCAGATACCAAACCCCATGGATGCTCAATTATCTTAAATAAAATCCTGCAGTGTTTCCATATAACCTATGAACATCCTTTCATATACTTTGAATCATCTCTAGATTATTCATAATGGCTAATATAACATAAACAATACTACACTATACTATTTAGGTAGTGATAAGAAAAATGTTCTATACACATACATGTATACATGTTCTATACACATACATGTTCTATATACATACATGTTCTATACATACGCAATTTTTTCCAAATATTTTCAATGTGCAGTTGGTTGACTGTGTGGATTTGGAGCCCAGTGAACACATGCCATTAGCACCAGTGAGTGACATCACAAGACACCTCTCCCTGCTTTACTCAGAAAACCGCATACACGTGTGAAACACAACCATGAATGAATGTAACTACGAGGACGAAAGACAGAACCACTGGGTGCTGCAGGATGGATCGCACTCAGGGCGAGGCCTGCCGGGAGCCCGTGGGTGGACTCCCCCAGTCCTGTGATCTAACAAACCACAGACTAGGCTGGGGAACCACCAGATTGGTGAAGAGGACTGAATTCATAACGGCGACCAGAGTGGAAGCCGCTACAATGCTTAACGTTCACCAGAAATCCGCAGCACCCATGACGAGGCAAGCGTGGAATAAATACTGGTGATCAACAAACAGCAATGATCAATGCTGCCCAGCAGGAAGTCAGTGTGCAACAGAGACGAAGGTAGGACCATTTTTGCCCAAATCCCTCCCCCCACTTCACTGTGTAATTAGTGAGAATTACATGCAATGTGTCTCCGACAGGCAGCACGCTCCTGTGTGTGCACGTGCGTGGATGTAGTCAGAATTTCCAAGGACTTAACAAAGTGACTCTAAACCAAGAGCGACAAATTGGTGGAAGTAGGCGGGGGGGGGGGGGTGCATCGAAAAGGAAACAATGACAGCAGGGCCACGCTAGGGGATACAGAAGTGCAATAAAACGGCCTGGGGTGGCAACAATCTTATACGGATTAATGGAACAAAACAAAAAGCTTAGAAATAGCACAGAGGGAGCACGAGGTCTTAGCCGTCTACACAGGCAACATTTTAAGCCAGTGAGGAAGGAACGGGCTAGCTGGTGAAAGTCTGTGGAATAATTGTATAAAAATTCTGAAGTAAAAGAAGTAATAAAAAAAGGGGGGGGCTGGAGAGATGGCTCAGCTGTTAAGGACACTGGCTGCTCTTCCAGAGGTCCTGCGTTCAATTCCCAGCACCCACATGGTGGCTCACAACTATCTGTAACTCTAGGTGCCTCCTGCCCCACCAAACAAACAAAACCAGAATTTTCTCAGGCTGGGCGAGGTGGCTCACACCTTTAGTTCCAGCACTCAGGAAGCAGAGGCAGTTGGATCTGTGAGTTCAAGGCCAGCTTGGTCTATATAGTGAGTTCCAGGACAGCCAGGGCTATATAAAGAGACTCTGCCTCAAAAAACAAACAAAGAAAAGAAAAAGAGTCATTTCATCTATGGCACACAATTAAAACAAAGGGTTGTATTTTGTTTTTTGTTTTTTCCTGCTTGGATACTTGGAGGACCCACAGAGAGAGGCATGTCCACGAAGACCTGTGGGGTGGAAGCTGGGCTCCAACTCCAGGGAAATGTCCTGGCACAGTAACCTACCCCAGGGGCTGGAGCCCGAGAGCAGATGCCGATGTGTGCAGTTAGAAGAACAATTAGACTGTTCTTCACACACAGCGCTAAGGAAACGGGCGCTGCGGAGATGCCACAGCCACCTCTCTTTGCTTTTTACTCTGTGTCTTTAGTGTGCACAGGGTGACGTCTGGACACACACGCAGAGGCAAGCGGAGTGATTACTGAGCCGAGCAAGTTAATCTCCTCGCCTTCATTTCCTCCTCCCCCTATTAGTCACTTTTCTGTGGCTGTGACAAAGCAACTTTGGCCCTACAGTTGCAGAGGACTCGAGTCCACCGTGGTGGGGAAGGGCTGGGCGTGCTTGCCGGAGCAAGAAGCTGGTTGGCTATGGTTCCATTTACACAGAAGCGGAGAAGAGGGAACAGGAAATGGGTGAGGCTGATAACAGCCGCAGCCTGCTCCAGTAATGCCCTTCCTCCAGCAAGGCCCCGCCTCCCAGAGGTGACACTCCCTCCTCAAGCAGCACCAACAACTGAAGACGAAGTGGTCAAATACACGCAAATACACGAGCCAATGGGGGACAGTTCTCACTGAAACCACCCTGTCTATCGCCTGACCTCTATGGGTCCCTAGTAATACCGCAGGGGTCCAGGACACGCACCCCCCTCTTCTGTCCCATGGAAAAGGCCATCAATGCAGCATAGAAAAGCTCCTGTCAAAGGGACAAGGATGATCTCATCAACTACCCTGTGTTGGGCACCTTGATCAGGCACCGTGCCAAGTCCTCAGTTGCACATCTGCCATGGACTGCAGGTTCATCTCCCCCAAGCTCATAGGTTGAAGCCCCTAAGATCCAGGGTGATGGTGTGAGGGGAGAAGGCCTTGGGGAGATAATTGTGGCTGGTGAGGTCCTGAGGTTGGAGTCACCACGATGAGACTGATGTCATCCTGAGAGAAAGAGACACCCGCGCTTCTTCTGTGTAAAGAGATAGCCTCTGCAAGCTCGCAAGGAGCCTTGGGTGGAGCTCAGCCATGCTAGCACTCTGACTCTGGATTCCAGAGCCTCCGAAACTGAGAGATGGAGCTGTTGTCTAAGTCAGGGCTTCCCGGACCTCTTCTATCCCTGGTGTCTTTGTGTCTGACAAATCTTCGGGTGACTTCAAGCCATAGCTATACGGAACGTGACTATCAAACGCCCACTGGCAATAAACAATAAAGAAATTTATCTCACACCAATTCTGCTATACACAGAATGCTTCCATCTATTAAAGACTGAGGCAGATTTGCACACTAATGAGGTACACGTGCTTGTTTACTTTTACATAAAGAGCCACATCTTGGCTGAATATCTGGCAGCACAGGATGTAAAATGCCTTCAATGTTTCTCATAGTTGATCAATATTTTGATTTTATGATTGTCAATGCTGAGAACACCACTTGGCATGAATGTGCAGTAAAAATTTAAAAAGCAGAAGTAAATTTGTGGCTATTTTCAGAAACGGGAGGAAATTCTATCCTAATCCCAAAGCAAATTCCTCATAAAACTCAAGCCAGTGGGAGGCCAGCATGTGACTGATCCAGACCCCTTGAGTGTGAGAGTCAGTGAGGAGGCCTAGGCAACCTATGGGGCCCTGGGCAGTGGATCAGTGTTTATCCCTGGCATACAAATGGACTTTATGTGTCCATAACACAAAGAGGGATGCTCTTTCAGCCTGGACTCTTAGGGGAGTGCCTGGACCCTGCCCTGAGCGAAATGACAGACTCTGGACATCCCCTATGTGGAAAGAAGTGGGGATAGGGTGGGAGGCTGGGGGAGATGGTAGGGGAGTGCGGGAGGAGGGGAGGGAGAGGGAACCGGGATTGACATGTGAAGCAAGCTATTTAAAATAAAGTTAATAAAATTTTTTTAAAAAACTCAAGCCAGTGACTTAGACAGCAATCTCTAAAAACCAAACATTTTAACACAGTATAATCCTAAGTTATACTAACATGAATTTATATGCTGAGAAATGATGGTAAAGAAAACATAAAACTTTTGACTTCTGTAACTAAACCATTACGCTCTTATATGAGCTGAAGTTTCGCTTAAAAAAAAAAACAAACCACTGAAATTCATCACACAACCTGATCCAAGGTGTCTGAGGCAGACAGGGCCCTGTGATGTCAGGAGGTGTGACGTCACACACAGCAGGAGCGCACACATGCAACAATGAAGCCCCATGATGAACAGGTGCAGGCCCGCCAGGTAGAAGGCTGCGAGCCACATTTTAAGATGCTGTGGTGTACACTACCCAGCCCGGGACATTTTGTTACAGCGGCCCAAGCTAACATACTACCAACTAAAGCTGAATGAGAGGGAGGACCAGACGGAGACGGGGAGGGGAAGGGAGAAGAATGAATCGCTGATTACAAAGCGGGGTGATGCCGACGTGTGCATACTAGGGACATCTCATCCTATGTTCCTGGTCACGGTCCCCTGGCTGTTAAAGAGCCACCATTCCAAGGACCATGTCGTCTTCATCTCCCAGATTTTAGCTAAATTTTTTTCTTTTTATTTTCTGAGCTCCCCATTGGCGTGTTTTCTCACCCCCAAAATGCCTTCCCTTCCTTTGGCCAAAGGGCCTGAAGAACTATTCTGGGAATGACTCCTGGGGTACCTCATGAACGGCTAGGAAGATGCCCTGGTCGGAACTGTGGGGGGCTCTGTCAGAGCTGAGCTGCAGACATAACACATCCTTATTTGGAAAAGTCAGTCAGAAACCTGTCATCAGCAGGCAAAAATACCACGAAGTCAACGGAGGAAACTGTGTTAACGCACACCCGTCTGAAGAAAAATGGCAATAGAAGCCGATTCCCAATGGCCAAACCCTAGAGAAGTGAAAAGGGACAAACACAGGCAATGGCCTGTAAAAACCACAGTGCCAGTGGCTATGAGACCCATGGACAGACAGAGTCCCCAGTAAGCAGGGACATGCAACCTATTACATACAACTTTCCCCCAGGGAACTCCCGTGATCAGAACGGCAGGACAGAACACGTGCAACATTGAGGAACAGGACCCACCCGATGTGCTGAACCACTTGAGTTGGTTGAATGATTCATTTCAGTCCCTACAGACGTGTATCTTGAAGCCTACTTGTTGGAGGACTGCTCTGAGCTGCACTACCAAGGGCTGGAGAGATGGCTCAGCCGGTAAAGGCTAGGCTCACAACCAAAATGCACTACCAAATAATATAAAATAAATTGAAGGTGATGACAGTAAATTATAATATAGATGAAGAAAAATGAGAACTCATGGGCACTATAAAACCATAATGATGGTTTGCCCAAAGCAAAGCACCCTCCCCCAACTGTAAGAGCCCTGACTCTCCATGTGCACAGTCACGTGGGCATCGATGTCACCACAGGAGCATTGTAGGAAACAGCCAACCAGAATCCGCATTTCAGAAGCCCTGACTGAGTCCTTTAGTAAGGAATCAAAAAGTAGCCCTCTGTGGCGATAAAAGTTGGAAAAACATGCTAATTGCCTGAAGGTAGTGCTGTATTTCTCTCTGGAAAGCTGGGTGTGGTGGTACCTGTTTTACCCCCAGAAATCAGGAGGCTGAGGAAGGTGGATCCAGATGTAAGCCAACCTGGTCACACAAGGAGACACAGTCTCAAAAAAACCAAACCTAAAACCAATCTGCTTCTGCCCTCCCTGATTTACCAGAGGGAAGTCACCCAGTCCACAGACTGCCAAACTGTTTCCTGGCGTAATAAAACAAAAAGAAAAATACATTGAAAAACGAAGCTGAGTTGAAAAATTGCAGGGACAGATTATGATTAAAACACTGTGCCCTTTGCAGAGAAACTTCATGGGGTCATTTCTTCAGATGCGCTGTGACTAGAAAAAAAAAAAGTACTCGTTGTTTACACTTAATTTTCAGACATGAATGGACACGAGATTGCGAGCTACATTTGCTAGTATTTCATAGTGATCTACCACAATGCTCTAATTTGACTTAGGGTATCATTTTAATTCATGTCTTGCTGCTATGATTGAAAAAAAACAAGAATCCTTTAAAAGGGCAATTTAAGGATGGGTGGGTTTACTTCGACTCCATCACGATACCATCACCGGCAACCGTGGCTGGAGGTGACTGTGGTTACATGGTAGAGTCAGGAAAGAGAGGGGAACGGGCCTGCTTCTGCAGCCTAGGACCAAGGCAGCCGGGATGAGTGATACCACCTTCCTCCGGGCAAATCTTACCGCTTCACTTAGCTTAATCAAGAGAAGCCCTCACAGGCATGGCCAGAGGCTAGCCTAATCTCTGAGTAATCCCTCTCAGAAGAGTCCTGGGCTTGTCTCATAGGCAACTCTATATTCTGAGACCCTGACAATCATATAATAGCCACCTGAGGTTGCAGATGGACAGTTTGAAATTTCCTGCTTTGCTGAGAAGTCTTCCAGATACACTGTGGCCTATGGGCTGAAGATGGATGCCCCAACATTACAGAAAAACTTCAGGTGACTGTCCAGTCAGCAAGATGTCTCTGTCAATCCTAGTGTTTATATATTATCCTTCTGTGGTCTTTGATGGAGTTGAAGGCAGATAGTTATAATTATAGTTTTCCTTAGTTATGACAAGAGATAAGCTACATATAGGGCTTTGGACTCACAAGAATGAGATAGATGATATTTTCTTTAAATCTTGCTAAATGTTGATAGACAAAATATTGTAACTGTGTTCTTATTTGATAACTGTTCTGTTATATATAATTTGACTATGTTAAAGTTAAGACCTTTCTTTTTATTTAGACAGAAAAGAGGAGATAATGTGGGAAGTCCTATGTATATGTCAATAAAGCACTGTTGGGCCAATAGGAATCTAGATAGGTGGGACTAGGAGTCCAGGAGGACTCTGGGAAGGAGAAACACAGAGAGTCAAGATGTAACGTCATGGGGTAGGAAGCCCGGAACTATTCTCCAGTAAGGGAAATACTTAGATTAACAACTATGGGGTAATTACTTAAGTCAGAGCAAGCCAGTAAGAAACAAGCAAGGCCAACAGCTTCATAATTAATATAGCCTCCTGTGTGTTTATTTGGGACTGCTGCGGCACTAGAACCAGGCTGGAAGGAAGGTTTCACTCAAGGAAAAGGTTTCTCTTTACAAGAGGTACCATCCCAGAAATGGGAGTACGCTGTGAGACTCACAGCATTCACACTTATCAGAACTTGGTGAGTAAAAAAGACAAAAAACAAACAAACAAACAAAAAACCAAAAAACAACAACAAAAAAAAAAAACAACCCCAAGGCCTGTGTGTTTCAGTAAAGGAAAATATCCTGAATCAACAATGTGCATTTGTGGGGGGGGAGTCTATGATTTATTTTCAAATGCACCAAAAGCAAGCAAACAAACAAACAAAGAAATAAGTAAATAAATAAATAAGACGTAAAGGCAAATGAACAGATGAGATAAACCAACCAAGTATGCCAAAATGTTAATGCATACTGTGAGGGGAATAAAGGCGTTCACTATAAAGTTAAGTTTATCAAATGCTTGAAAATGTTCATGGTGAAATTAGGTGTGTAAGTTAACAATGTCACTAAAAACAGTTACCATAATATTGCACAGCCACTAAAATGATTATTAAAAATCATTTTAAAGACATGGGACTTTTTTCATAAGATCTTACTCCTTTCAATGTAAAATGTAAAAACCACATATATCCTTAGCATGATTAAATATTTTTGTCTTGAACACATTTGGATGCTGTAACACACTTTTAAAATGCCCACACAGGGCGTCTGGACAGCTGACCCAGCAGTTAAGGACACTTGTTGCTTTTCCAGAGGACCCTGGTTCAATTCCCAGCACCCACATGGCTTCACAAAACCATCAGTGACTTCTTCCAGCCCCAGGGTATCGGATGCCTTCTTCTGATCTATGTGGTACCAGGCACATATACAGGCTAAATACTCATGTACATAAAATAATAAAACAAATCTTTTTAAAATTAAAATGCTAATAGCTACTTGTCAATGAAGAATAGAATTATGAGTGACTGCCGATTTTTACAAACTCCATTAAAAAATCAAAATTAATAGATGCATGGGATTATATCCTGATAAACTCATAGTAAATAGAAAATCGAAAATATTCTACTTTTAAGAAATGCTTTATTTTCCCTACCAAAAGCACAGCCGAGTAGCAGGGTTCGTGGAGGGTGCTTGGTGGCTTCCACTCATGTCC